AATATGAAGTGTTTCCTGAGTTTCCTGAATGTTTGCCTTTTGTAAAGCTCACCTTCTCTTCTGGGGTTTTAAATGTTTGATTTAATAATTCCAATATGTTGTATGACACAGAGAATGGATGAGAAAGAATGGGGGCTAAGAAAAAGGAGAAGTTAGGGGAGATGACAGAGAGAAGTCAAGGTAGAAGTCATGAAGCAAAATCAAGTAGAAGAAAATGTAAAGACAGCAGGGACAAAAGAGTACATCCAGGAAGTGGCTTAGTATAAGCTTGATTCACCTCTTGTATAACTGCAAACAAAAGAAATGAAAGTGGGAATGCAGAATGCTGAGCACAAAGAGGGCAGCTCATGCTCAGCGTTCTGCATTCCCACTTTCATTTCTTTTGCTTGGATGCATCACTTCCAGGCACTTCTTGCTTGGTGTGTGCTGGGAAGGCCAGCCAGGGGAAGGAGGGGCAGAGACAGACAGAAATCACCTACAGGGAACCAGAGTGTGCCCTTCTCCCCTCGGTTTCCCCTGTGTTCCCCCACGCCCAGCTCCGCGGCTGCTGCTGACTCAGTGGGTCACCAATGTGCTCTGAGTCTCTGGTCACCAATGTGCTCTGTGTCCCTGGGACAGCTGGTGGCCCTGCTGGGGGCACTTCCCAGCTCCATCCCCACCAACAGCCGAGGGGGAACAGTGGTGCTGGAGCTGTCTGTGGGGCCTGGGTGTGATTTGCTGTCTGTGCAGTGCTGGCACACGAGGGCCAGCCAGGGATGGCGTGCGCTGCTGCGGTGGTGCTGGGAACAGGAACGATGGTGGGGCCACATGGTCTGACAGAACTCCTTAAAGGCAGCTCAGGCTCTGGAGGCTTCTGCCTGCCTTGGATTAGTGAGTTGTTTAGGGATCTGGGGCAAACCAGTAAAACAGGCTGATGAATCCACACGGTAGGTGCCAATCTGGGTTGCTGCTTTTTTCAGGAGTAAACAACTAGGAGCCATTGTTCATCTTCCTAACTCTCTGCAGGACACAGGCTGTAAATTACATCCAGGAACAAAAGCTCCATGGGAGTAGAACCGGGCGCTCAACTTCCCAAGGGAGTGCTTTGCCCTGCAGCCACAAGAGCAGCTTTTCTTGCTTCAACCAGCACAGGCTCTTCTTCTGCCTTCCCATCAGCACTCAGAGCCCAGGAAAACTGTGCACTTCAAGATTTGCCACACTGGAGCATTTGCAACCGTTGCCATTACAAAACCTGTTTTCAGGATTGATAATGAAAATTAAATCTACTCTGAAATTGAATCCAGTCTGAAATGCAGGAAACTAGATTGCAGTCTAGGGACATGGAGGAAATCTTATTAAAAATAGCATATTTTATTGATATTACAGATAAGTGGGCATGAAATCCTCCCTACTCCCCCAAATCTGATTTTCAGCCAGTCTCACAGATCACTGTGTATTCTACACAAAATATAGACAGCCATGACCAGAACTACCTAATGGCATTTGTGCTTTCTATATTCACTAAGACCAGTTGCTGTTTAACTCCCCATAACAAGCTTGAAATAGTCACAAAATTATGCTCAGAAAATTATTTTTAATTAAAAAAACAGTGTTTCTCCTGATAATAGAAAAAAATTAAAATTAGGAGCTGTGTTTTTTTAGAAATTTTAGAAATTTGTCTTTCAGAAGACAAATGCCAGCTATTTTCACAGAAACAGTGTTCCATTCTACCCTTCTTTCAATTTCTCCCATTCAATAGTGAAATCAGTCTCCATTGGTACCTTTTTTTTTTTTCCATCAGAAGTACAGGTTCATTCAGGTACATCCATTTTCTTGTCTGTCCACAAAACAAAATCTAAATATTCATTTTAGGGAGAGGCTGTGCCACTGAGTTCAGTGGAATTTTGGTCTTTCAATTAAGCTAGGCCAGAATTTCATCCTGTATGTGAATTCCTGCAAAAACCTCAACTTTTTATATCATTGTAAGCCATGCATATGTTTCTAGGACTCCAACATATGTACTCCCTATTAGGATTTTTATCAAAATTAATTAGTGCTGCCTACAGTTCACATATGTGATACAATCACAAATTAGTTACTTTGGTGTTCCTGTGCTATATTTTACCATCATAGATTCAGTATTCACTGTATCAAAGGCATCATAGAAAAATACTATTTTAAATGATGAGCTTTTATCCTTTTTTCAGTCTTATTGTTTCATTCTCTTTTGAAAACTCCATTCATTAATAATTTTACAAATTTTTGGTGCCAGTAGCTTCTTGTTGTCCAGGAAGTAAGCAAATTCCAGATCTCAGATATTTAACTGTACTGACAGGCTCAAAAGGGATGCTCTGCTGCATTTCTTTAGCTGAAGATTTGCTTCAGGATTTCTCTGTTCCTATGTAAGAAGGTTTTCCCAAAAGAAAGGAGAAGTTACATATTTCTCACAAAGAAATCCCCCAAACAAAACCATAACAAACCCAAAAAACAAACCCCCAAACCCAACAGTTTTTCCAGAGTCTTACATCTGCTTGGACTAAGTTTTCTGAGCAGCATTATGCCCTACAGCCAGGCTAAATTTGGACTGCTGGCTACCTGAGACTGGCACAAGCTGACCATGTTTGTTTGGGAAAGCAGGAATTTTTTTGTGTCATTTTTTTGTTGGAATGCACATGTGTGTTCTAGGCTGCCATGCAGGCAGGCTGATGGCATGAGGAATGGCCAAACTCACACGTCACATACAAACAGCTCATGAACTGGTTTTGGGATTTATCACATGAAATGATGTAATGTTATCAATTATTTTTCTTGTGTAGATCTGTCTTTTCCTTTTGCATTAGGGACTAGCACCTCCATGCACGTGGTCTAAATGTGCCTAATCTTAGCCCAGTTTTTCAGGACAGCAACCAAGAGAGTCTTTCTGAAGCAGAATACCCCCCACCCTTGCTGAACACATGCAGAAGTATTGAAAAGACTGAGATGAATAACAAGTAATATTTTAGTATCTTGAAAACAACCTTTTCATATTTAGGTGTCAGAAGGGCTGGAATTAGAAACTTCAGACCATGAAGAGACTAGGATTTAGGTAACTCCTAGTTACCTAAGACTCTGCCTCTATCCCTAAAATGGACGTTATTCTCCCTTTACCTGTGCCAAAGAAAACTTTTTATTTTTTAAAATTCTGTATCATTAAGAATACAGGGTATTAATGAAGAGGCAATTTATGTTAATCAAAAATAGGACTCAAAATTTCCTGAATTTTAATTAAATGTTTAATTATTCTCTTTAATCCATAGGATGTGAGTTTTACAAGTGACTTAGGAATTGGAGAACAAGATATACTTAGTAAGTTTAAAACATTCATTAACTGTGTGCCAGCATTTTGAAATCCCACTAAACTTTATTCATGAATTTTGATGCCAAAACATTTATAAATGTACAGGATTTTACAGAACTATTTCAATTTCCACTTTAGACAATAAGGTATATAGGAGATTGCTTTTTAATTGCTTTTAAAGTAATTCCTTAAAAAAAAAAGTAGCAATTTACTAAAGAAAATGTGTTTTATCCATTATTTCAAAGTTGCTAGCTTCATAATAAAACGATTCCCTATGTGTAAAGGAAAGATTTTTACTTTAACTTTGTCCCATCAGATAGTCTAGACCTGTAGGAAAAGCCTGTTGGAACCTGTTGCTATAAATTTGGCTGGTTGAGGAAAGGATAGCCAGCCATCTCTAAGTCAAAAGGCAAAAAAAGGGCAAAGTTCTGAAAACCTCTTAGTGTGACCTTCTTGTGCCTGTGGCTGGAGAGACTTGTCTGTACTTTTCCATTGTTTGTGCTAACAGAGGTTAAATTAATGAGAAACTTCTTTCAAGTGGGAAGATCAACAAAATGGTAATCTGATATAGGACTATTCATTCCAGATTTGGCAAGGGAAACTGAAATCTGGGAATTTCTGTCTGTTGTTAAAGGTGAGAAGCGCTGGCTTTGGTGATCCCTGACCAGCCCCTCATGCCATGGCACAGGAACCACTGTTCCAATTCTCCAGCTCCAAAGAGAAGCCAGTGCGTGGAGACATCACGGGAAATCTCCGAGGCACACAAGAGACAAGCCTTTTGCTTATCTGCAGAGGCCTTGGGGTTTTCACCAGGGGTTTCATAAAGAGCCAAACAAAACCACACACTGCAATGAACATCTGTCCCTCAGGAACTGAGACCTTGTCTGAACCTCAAAGATCTCGTACCTTTTCATCCTGTCTCTCTGCTTTCTGCATTGGGAATAGGAGGAAAAATTCCTTCTGTACCTTATGCCATCAACAGAATAAAGTATCAGCCTTAGTCCTCAGAATCACTCACTTCTGGCACTGGAATTATTCACTACTTTTGCTCATTTATTATTCTTCTTGGAGCAGCTTGTGCAGAGTAGAATGGGCTGTGGGAAACTGAACAGCCTCGACTTACCTTCTGCATGATGTTATCCTCCAGCAGTGAGCAAAAACATTGCAGAAAGCTTCACTGCAGAGCAGGCATTTTACTTGCTCTTAACTGAACCACACAAAGAGAAAATGGTGAGATAGGAACAAATAAGCAAAATATTTTTTGGAAGTATCTAGGCTGTGATAGATGCTTTACCAGGGTTTAGAAACTCTAGTGCTTTTATGTTCACTTGGTTTGCAATAATGAAGATATTTTAAAATGCAGGATGAAAAGCTTGTAACAAACAGTGCATTTCTGAGAGAACTCAGGAGAGATTACACAATTTTTCCTACAAGCACACTAAGTATAACTTTTGACTAGACTAGTGTAAGAAGAGAAGGTTTAGTGGCTCTTTAAAACTCAAGTGTGCCTGCTTAGTCAGTCCTAGCTCTCCTTCCACTCCCCCTTCTTCTGCTGCTGGGTAACTTTTGTTGCAATATGGGTGTGACTTTTGATGGAGCTTCCCCCTCCCAGTTATGTCATTACTTCAGTTCCTTTGAATCAGAATAAAAAGTGCAGCAAACTTCAGACTCATTGACTGCAGGCTTAACAAGCGTCGGGGCTGTTCTTCTTTCTGCAGCTTCCAAAGATCTCTGGATTTTGCAAAACAGTTCCAAGGAAACAATGGCCAACTTCTCCTTATGGACAGTTTTTGGATTATGTTTGCTGCAGCTCTGTCTAGCAGAAACAGGTAAGATTTTTATGAATGAAAATGCTTATGATTGTTAAGTTAATGCTTCAGACAGCAAGTGTGCTTCTGCTAGACAGCGAACAGCTTTCTTGCAACTTTTATTTCTCAAGTGTTATCAGAGATGTTTCAGACATGTAATCTCATTTGTGCTGGTCTGTACAATCACGGAAAGCTGTGTATTGCTTGTAAAGGGCAATTCCAAATCTGCAAAAAGTGAATTGCAGAACATTAAAGAATGAAGTTTAAACAGGAACAGAAGTACATTAGGGAATTCAGAATGGCTCTGGTGAAGCTCAGTTCGACAATGTGACTGCTGTTCCAAACGCAGTTTGTTCTCCCTGCTCCCCTCCGGACTGCAGCGAAAAGGGGGTGGAAGGAAGGGGGTGAGCCCCGCCAGCTTACAGTTGCACTCTGGAGTTTACATCAGCTGAACCAACAGCTGAAACAAACTGCATTTGGGCACAGACTTGCTGAACAGGAGAAAAACTGCAGGGATCTCTGCTGAAATTTGGGGAGTTTTTATGCCCAGCATGCTTCCTTCTGACTTTTCTAAGGTCTCTCTGGGGCTGACTGATGAGCTTTTGGAACAAAGGGGGTTAGAAGTGACAAAGTTCAGTTGTGTATCACTCACCTTCCTGCAGCTTGGTTATCTGCTTCAAATATTTGTATTTAAGAATCTAAGGTTAATACAGAGAAAAAAGAGTAATTTATGTACGAAGTGAATAAAAAAGCTTTTGAAACTTTACATGGGGCAGGCTCAACCATGTTTTAGGGGAATGATCATACTTTTAGCAGACTCTCACTGTGTCTGCAACTGCCTCGAGGCATTTTGTGGTCAGGGATAACAGTTGTGCTTCTATATTGTTTTTGTACTCATCAGTCCCAGAGTCTAACAAAATGCATTTTTCATGGCCATTGTCACCCAAGGGCTGTGTGTATAGTAAATATGTGTCTCATTTGCTTGAGCAGCAGGGGATACTTCTGTTAATGGTTGCAGCTCTGCCAGGCTGGGAATGGGTGTGTCAGGGGGAACAAGTTCCCAGTGCTTCTGTGATAGCTGAAGCAGTCTCGTAGCTTTTCTGTCTAAAATCGTGTGCCATTGTACCAAAATGCTCTCGCTAAGATCAGGTATATAGACAAAGCCTTGCGAGAAAAGACAGGGCTACTGCAGGCAAGTAAGGTATGTCTAAGATGTGTTTAAATCCTTGGCTTGGTCCACGTCTGTGCACTGTACAAATATTATAACTGCTCGACTGATTTTGACTCCTGTGAGCTGCCTGGAGTGCCCTAGAGAGCAGGGTCTGCCCTGACTCCGGGAATGATGTGTTTTCACAGTGAGACAGAAAGCCCCATTATTGAGCCCTCGGCATGGTTACCAAAAGTGTGTCAAAATTCACATACGCCCTCCAGGGAAGTTTCTTTCCTGGCTTAGTAAGGTATTAGGATATAGCTACAGTATATTTGAGTTGGTGTACAGTACATTCCAGCATGACTTTGTAGTCAGTAATGATTTCAAAACAGCAGTTGATGCTGTTGTTTTCTATTTTTAACCAGTGATTTTGCTGTGTATCATAGACTGCTGGCTATTGCTGTTGGGAAATTTCTGAACTGGAATTTTAATTCTTTTAGTACAGAATTTTATGGAATTAAAGAGGACCTGGAATTACTCATAATGTGATTTCAGAAGGAAAAATGAGATACAGAGAAAGCTGAAAAACTTACTCATCCTGATTTCTGTGGTGTTGTGTCTATACTGTCACTGATATGTTTCTCACTCTTGGTGTTGACATCACTTGTCTAAGGAGTCTGGATCCTGGAGGATATAGATGCTGACATCTTGGTTAATGATGTTTTCAGAGGAGATTTTCTCCTGCAAGCATCATGTATTTGTAGAAATATTTTTCTCAAAGTTTTCCTTGATTAACACAGAGCAAGTCCTAGAATTTTGACCCCCAAACTTGGAAGAAACTGGAAGAGAAGTAGTAGTGGTAAGGATGAAATGGAAAGAGGCAGAATGAGTCTGCCTGTGGGAGGAAGGAGCTTGCCTGTTAGCACTGGAGGGGTTTCCAGAGCCCATTCCAAGGTAAGGCTCTGAGACAGGGCTCCTGCAGCTCCTGGTCAGTCACAAAGGAAGAGACCTGCCTGGCCCTTGGTTTGCATATCTATCCTGTAAATTTGTAAATAAAGCAGTTTCAAGAAGCTCTTTGTGCTAGATTATTTTCACTCAGTCCTTACAGTGTGTATCTTGGCAGTTTCCCAAAGCTGCAAAGTAACTAGACTTTATTAAGAGTTCACTTGAACTTTCCATCATTGTTTAGTGGAAGGGTTCTGGAGCTGTCCTGGAAACATTGGCACACACAGAGCCAAGAAAGCATGGCAGGGGATTGTTTTGCAGTCTTTGGAGAAATGCTTGAAGATTCTTTAGGTACTGGTGTTCTCCACAATGAAGAGCCATTACCTTGAAAATAGGAGGTCAGAGAAAGGCTTAATGAGGACAGATAGCATCGTACAATTGAGGAAGAACTTTTTAAAGTAAATGCTTTTAAAACCACTGGTAGCCCTAGCCAAGGTTAAACAAAATGTTCATCCATATGTGATGTATCTTTCTTTCCTGAAGAGTTCCCATGACTTTTATAGGCTTGAATTGAAGATAGTGTGAATATTGCAGTTATTCATCTATTACCTGAACAGGCATGAGGTTTGACTGTATCAAGAATGTGCCAGGAGTTGGAGACATCACGACATGCTGATAGACAGATAAACACCAGAGAGAATCATGAGCTCATTACTCCTAAAATACCCGTTGAAAAGATGTGATAATATTTGATAGTACTAGTTCTGAATTTAATTGACTGGTAGTAAAACACATTGTAGAGAAGCAGAGATAAACCAATGTAGAGTTCCTTTATAAGAAGAGGGTAAATCAGTTAAGGAATTTAAAAGTTTTTTGATGTTCCAAATGCTGTCAAAAGGCTTCTCCATCTGCTTTCTGGTCTTCTTGCATCACATTTTTGTTCCAGAACTAAGGGGTGAGTGTTTGAAAATACAGTCAATATGGAAGACGATAATTCTCCCCTTCATATATCACTGTTTGGTCTTTTATTTTAAAGAGAATACTATGTGAGAGAGCAAGGGAAGGAGTTCTGCAAAACTCGCCTATAAAGTTGGGTTTTCCAGGACCAAGGCTAAATGTACGCAGTTATTTGTGAAATGTAACTTTACAGAGAGGATAATTGTGAAACAAACACGACCCGTCACAGTAATCTTGCCTGCTTGGAAAACAATGCAACATTGCATTGGAACAATTAATGGTGTCCAAAACACACCATATTTTAGAACCAGCTGGCATCTGGGAGCATGATGATTCAATTTATCAGCATTAAACTGAATTCTTAAACTAGAGAAATGGAAGCTTCCAACTTGCTAGAAACCAGACCACATCCACAGTCTAGTTTGTCCTTTGGCTTTACCTGTCAGGGTTTCTGTGTGATAAACCTGGTGGTTTGGACCATTCTCTGTGTGTTATCCATGACTGTGGGCGGGAAGCCAGTTTGGTGTAGCTGCTGGTCATTTTCCAGGAGTCCATCATCTCTTAACAGACAGCCATCTCTCCCTCCCAGAGAGGCAATAATAATTTCAAAGCTATCAGACACTGTAATTATCAGTGTCCACGCTGGGTGCTGCTAATAGCAGTGGCAGAGAGGGCTGTGTCGGTGCTGTGTGTTTATCATTTCCTCCCCCAGTGCTCTGCAGCAATATCAGTAGCAGCTGGCTGTGATTTCCCTCCCTTGCTGCCGGAGCTGCCCCCACCCAAGGACGGCAGAGCAGCTCATGCTATGAATGAGTCTGCAGGCAGAAATGTGAAGTGGCAGCTGAGGAAAAGAGGGGTTTTCCTTGGAGAATCTTTCCAGTCAGACAGAAAGTTCAGCTAATTGCAATTTAAAGTTCAAACCTCCGTGACTGTTTCCTGCCTAACGAAACCTGCAGTCATTTTTTGAGTCTGTGCTTTCAATTAGGAACATAATTGAACTTTCTTTTGTAAGCAATGGCTTTGGGACTTTCCAGTTCCTCTACACGACAACACTGGCAACTTTATATAATGCAGCTGTCTTATTTTGGTACAGTAACCTTCAATTCTCATATTGTGAAACCCCAAACAAGAAAAAAAACAAAAAAAACCCTAAAAGGAGTTGGAGAATAATCTACAGTTTTGGCCGTTAAAAACATGAAAGCATAAGCAGGGCATGCTAATTCAAAGTAAAAATTGCAGAGAAGACCTGAATTCTATTTACATTTGGAGTTTGAAAAAAACTTTGCTTCACTTTTTTTTTTCTCTTTTCTGTGATGTAGTTTAGTAGCTGGAAACTCTTAAGAGACTGTGTTGTGTCTTAAAAAAAAAAAAAGAAAAAATGCCAGACACAAAGCAGCTGTGTTAAAACTTCATCTCTCTGCTAATGATACTGTTCCAAAAGCAATGTGAGAGGGTTGTAAAAGAGATTGCCAGGGTACATACTGTCAGCTGCCTAGGAAAAGGGCATTAGCCTGCAATCCTCAACTTCACAATTAATGTTTTACCAAATGCCTGCTTTCGTAAATGAGATGCTGCCTCTGACAGAATGTGTAATAGTAAAAAAAAAACCTGCCATGGCATAGCTTTTGTTAATTATGTATGTCTCACAGTGACAGCATGTTAGCAAAACAGGTTCTCAGAAGTACATTTCCCTAGGGGGCTTTTTTATTGTTATTTTTGTTAATGGATAGGTGTCTGTAAAGAAGCAGGGTGTGGTGTGTGTGGGTAGCTGTAATGAATAGTTCCTTGCCGGTTTCCCATAGAGAAGTGAGAGGTTAACTGGAGCTCAGTGGACGTTCTGTGGGCACCCAGGCCCCCGTGAGCAGATGTGGGGCAGTGCCCAGGCAGCAAGCAGGCTGCTGGCCAAAGTGGGGTGTAAAAGCTGAGCAGCACCTGGAGCTGGCAGCCTCTCCTTGGGAGCACGGCTTGG